AAGACATTAAGTGCACCAGGTGCCTAGAGACTAATTTACCGATTTATCAAGGCATGCTACAAATATATATATGCGCAGGCATCTAAACCGCATGTAAAAAAAAGAGATGATTTTTTCACGGTTATAGAACTAGTTTCTACGGAGTATTCTTGTACATAATATTAACCTAATACTTTTTTTATACGGATGGTGGTCATGATTTTTTTCTGGTAACAAATAGCATTGCGTCATTTTCATTGGTCGAACTGAGTTACCTGCTGACGCCGTATTCATGCAAAGGGTAACTTCGGCCGATTTCTGTTCAGCTGATTTGCATTTTATTTGTAAAAACTAAATACTATAAATTTAAAAGGTATGAATTTAAGTTGCAAATTTAAACATAGTTGATAAATTTCACGCCAGGAATATCCACTGTGTCTTTCTGTATATACAAGATATTTTTAGAGGTGATAAACTGATAATTCCCCGCAATGGTTTAAAAATACTCGTCCGTAATTTTTCGGGCGATAAAGTTTCTTCTTGGATGTAATTTTCCAGTAAAGAAATAAATTTCGCCTATTATTATCAACATTGATTTGTATATGAAAAATGCATTTTCTTTCTGCATAAAATAGATGTGTGTACACTATAATGGGTTATAAACAAATTATTTTAAGGTATACTGTTGATTTATGAACAGTCGAAATTAACCAGGTGGTCGAAGTTACACTCGTCTGTGACCATCCTAACCTATATCCTGACGTTAAAAAAAAGTCTTGTATCTATGTAAGTAAATTACTGCATAGTTACACCATTTGATAAATAAATACATCAATCAGTGGATAGGTTTGTAACGTAGACCTTCTGATTTTAAATTCATTTATTTACCTCACTCGGCACACCTCGGCCGATTCGTACCTCATCTGGATGAAGGTGACGGAATCAGCCGAGGTTTGCCGAATGTTATTTACCTTCGACCAGCCTTTAAATATTGCAGTATTTTTCTTTGCATCATCATAGGAAATTGACAAGTGCTGTCTACCCTTCAAACGAAATCGGGAGACGTTTTCCGCTTTGAATAATTATGAGATAATATTCATAGCCTAGGGAATGCAAGGTTTTCAGACTTGATTTTTAAGAAAACTGATACTTGGTCATAAAATAAAATTACCATTTTTTAATTGACCATTAATTATAAAACCAAAGTATGGCATTATTAATATTAGTCATGTCATATTTTGAAAATTTTAGGGGGGGGGGCGTGCGCCCCCAAGCCCCACTTAAATCCGCCAGTGGGGGCAGGCCCCCTGAACCTCCTCTAAATCTGTCAGTGTTTTCTTTCATTATACGGACTTGCAGGATAAGCGAAATACCCCAGACATTTAATAAAAATCTCAAACCCGATCTAAAACGCGTTGACAAAGTCAAACCAGACGGTTTTAGTTTTTACGGCATTTTTACAGTGATATGAGAAAAGTGGGATAATTGCTGTTAATTTTAAGAAATAAAGTTCGGCATTTTTCAACCTCGTTCGGTATAATATAATTTACTGATAATTTTTTCCGTTAAGGAGGAACACATGGACGAAGGATAAAAAAAGAGGTATTCTGCATGTACATGTACACATCATTGCTATAATTGTGTACTCGGGATTAAACCCAAAAACCTTCGTTACATTGTATTTGGGTGTAATTTTCACATGTTCTCAGGCGGATAATCATTTATTTTTATCTGTCTAAAGACAATAATTTCAGTTAATAGAGAAATGTTTTTATTTCGTCGTTTTTTCCCATCCGTTTGGTTTACACGTTTGCTTTGTACACAAAAGCGTGTGTTCATATACCGCTGTTTCTACACGCTATCGATGAATCCGGGATGTTTCGCGCCGATTCTGTTTCGCACTGAGATGGTTCGCGCCTGCATGATTAGCGCCGATTTAGGTGCGAAACATCTCACGATTTATTTTAAATATTCCATGACATTTTTATCCATTTTAAAAAATTGTTTATCAATTATAAGATATACATATATAGATTTTGTGTGTTCAAATGCCTGACTTAATAATACATGAATGCACTGCCAAAGATTACGGATCGTGTTCATCAAATATTCCATAAGGATTTAATTGTAATTAGTTGTAGATCGAAAGGTGAGAATTTATTAATTGACGTGTTGGTAGTCAAACCAGCAATAATTACTTAATTAGATGGCGGTATTATAATTAGCATGGTGTTAAAATAATACATAATTATATGCTATGTATACTTCAAACACAGACATAAACAAGAGGCCCATGGGCCACATCGCTCACCTGAGCACATTGGGTAGGAAAAAGCATAAATCAGTTCAGTATTGAAAAGTTTACAAGTTTAAATTTTTTTGGCCCAGTAGTTCTTGAAAAGACTTTGAAAACATGCCACCAAATTTTCACTATTTCTTAATTATCTCCTCTTGAATGAAGGCATGTCGCTTCATTTAAACAAACTTGAATCCCCTTCACCTAAGGGTGCTTTGTGGCAAGTTTGGTTGAATTTGGTCGAGTGGTTCTGGAGAAGTTGAAATCTGAAAAGTTTACAGACAGGCAGACAGATATACATACATTAGGTTATATATTTGGTACATCAAGTGCAAGTCCCCTTGGAATTGCTATCTGTGAATATATGCATTCACTTGTATCAATGAATTATTTATTACTTAATATACTATTTTTACAGTTTAAATTTTTCCAAGGGCTATGGTTAAAATAAATTTGAATTTGCAGATGGCATTTGATTGTATTGTTGAACAGTTTAAAGGTCTGATTTCATCTTTTGTGATTTTCACCCATTTTATTTAAATTATAAACAAGAAATAAGTCATTGTTTTTATTGATCTTTATTAGAGAAAAATATCAATAAGAATGTAACATGCCATGCTTTAGTAGTTGGTACACATATTTAAACAATTTTTTTTCAAAAAAGTTAAGATTTCACATCTACCAAGTTACCTATAAACAGAAAATTGGATGAATAAAAAAGGATAAAATGTCTTTCATATAACTGAGTGTAAATGGCTACAGCAGATCTGAAAGAAACATATATTGTCCTAAAAAAGGAATTTTTAATGTTCATTAGCAATGTGAAATGCGCAGAAATCCTAGTTAAAATAAAATTTTGGAGAACATGTTTTCAGATTGAAGAAAAGTATGTTGAGAACCACAAATGTTCAATGTTTACAGATATAAATTTCTGAGAGTGCTGATACACCATTAAAACACAAGAAAAGTTCAAAACATAATTGCAATATAACATTTCTAGTGAGAAGTTTTTAATACTGATTGCTCAAGGAGAATTTACACTGACTTGTACTAAAATGCTTAATATTATACTGTATTTGTGCAAGAAGCATGGCATTGAAACAAAAAAAATTGTAAAAACACAACAGAACTTAAAAGTAAAAAATTGATTTTTAACTAAAAATTAAAATGATTGTGTTTACTGACACAAATTTTACAAAAATCTCCAACAGTTCAAAATAAAAATCTGAGTTTTGGTGAATGCCTTAGATTGTGAAATTGGTTTGGACAGAAAATAATGTTCAATGTGGTTTTCTGTTTAAACTTGATGGTTTCAGTGAAAGGGCTCAAAAAATCATAAAAAATGGTTTTGAAACAAATATTGAGTTGTGTTTCAATATCTGTATGGTATTTAGTTGTCGTTTTGCTTCTTTGACAATCATGAAATTCTTCAAAATACATTGCCCATACCATAGTGCAATAAAGAAGAAAAACAACTATATAACAGTGTATATTTGCATGTAACTTGAAAATGCCAAAAAAGTATGATAACTATATTTGCAAACACAAAACAGAACTAGAATCTTAAACTAACATAATGACTGTGTTCAGCAAAACAAATGTTTAAAAAAAAAATTATTAATAAATATGTCAAAATGAAAACAGCTTCTTAAAAGATTTTTTTTTAAATGCATTGATAGAAAGATAAATAGTCTTAAGAAGTTTAAATTGTAAAAATCCGAATTTTAAAATAAGTAATTTCAGGACTGAAGTTGGATTTGGACAGTGTAGATTTTTAACCTGGTTTTAGACAGTGTACATGCATGTAACTTAAAACTGACACTAGAACAAGAAATGTGCTAACTACATACACAAAAACATGATTAAAATGTTTATCAGTGATCTGGTTTCAACTCACTTGTTTCAGTGAAATGGCTCAAAATAGCACGAGAATAAGGCATTTATTAAGATAAGAATTTAAAACAAATTTGGAATGATATGTACTAGTTTGTTGTCATTTAGTTTCTTTGACAATGATGATTTTATCAAAATACAATGTTCATATCATAGTGCAACACAAAAGAAAAAACTACTATACAAGTGTACATTTGCATGTAACTTGAAAATGGCAAAAAAGTGTGCCAACTATATTTGCAAAAAGAAAACTGAACTATTAAGTAAAATCTTAACTAACATAAAGATTGTGTTCAGTGACACAAAAGTTACAAAAATTTTCAACAGCTCAATATAAAGTCAGCTACTAAAAAAAGAGAATTGACTGTCTTGTATACAGGAAAGTGAACAGGAAATAATCTTCAATCTGATTACAACTGAATCTTTTCAGTGAAATGGTTCAAACCAGTATGACAAATGGACACTGAAACAAGAATTTAAAAGAAATTTACAATTCTGTTATTATTTTTTTTTAGTTTTTTGTCAATCATGAAATTTTGTCAAGAAGATAATGCTTATACCAGTTAGATACATAGAAAAAAAACCAGTCAAGTTACACAACAATGCACTTTATCATGTAACTTTATAGACACATAAAAAAAAAGTGTTAACTACATTTATAAAAATAAAAAAAAGAACTGAAATGGAAATCAAGTCTTAACAAATCAATGATAGTGCTTACTGCTTAGTAACACGTCACAAAAATTTTTGATCACTCAATATAGAACCAGCTGTTCAAAACATTTGATAACATTTTGCCATTTGTTAACAAAGTAAACAGTCTTGAGAGGTTTTAATTTGCTTCCAAAATCTTTAGAATCTGAGATTTTGAAGGAGTAACTTCAACTTTGAAGTTGGTTTTGGAGAGGAAATAATCCTCAATCTGATTTTCTGACTTTAACTCACTGGTTTCAGTGAAGTTGCTCAAAACGGAATGAGAAATAGACATTTTTTTTGGCTGAGCATTAGAAGCAAATTTACAATTCACTTGAATCTTAAATGTTTTGTGCAAGTTTGCCGTTTTTTGTCGCATATGACAATTTTGACATTTTACAGTATTGATGCTTGGATTGAAAAGTCCAATATCCTTGTTGCAAGCAGTGCACAAGGTGAGAGAATTGCACGATACAGAGTCGATGGTCATTGTATCTGTAACACTGATGGCATCAGTTTCTCCCGCTTTTACAAATCCAAGGTCAGGGATCTCTTGAATATTGGTGTCTGGGCAAGTTGTGATGGACTTAATGCCATCAAAACTGCGAAGTGATACAGCTGTGAATCTGTACGACTTTGCAAGATCCAACTGATCAATGTGCTTGTCCCAAGCACAGACTTGGATTGTGTCAGATGCATCTGCTACTGTGACATAGGACCTTTTTATTATTTCACCTGATTTGATGGTTTGGAGGCTTGGATCTGTTTTATTCATTACTTTCCCTTGAATCGTGATCTGCAAGAAAATATTTTAAATCATCAGATTACATAAGAAAATCAATGAAGATTCTGATTTTCAGGTGCTGAATTCAGTGTGAAATCATAATTTTATTTTTCTTTTTTCAAAGTAATTTTAATCTCTAAGTTCATTTAAGATCCTGGTGTTTGAAAATTTAATGAAAATTAAAATGTAGAGATAACATTTGTCAGCTTTAACAGAAGTATTTATTGCTAGCACGATCATGTTTGTTGTAAAATATTTGATTCATCTTAAAGAATGTGTGCTAAATTTTTAGCAAGGATTTGCATGTTCCATCGACTCAAAAATCAAATCATGTCAAGTTGAATGAAGTAGAAAAACAGTAGAGAACTTTCAGGATAAATATCACAAATTTTGTCTTAGAAAATTTAAATATCTTTGCTTAAATAGGGACTTTGTTTGGTTAAACAAGTTTTTGTTTGAACAAGGTACGTAATTTGGTGAAATGAAATACATGTGTATATGGAGATAACGAACAGTATTCAAGCTGAAAAGTCCATTAAACAATACAAAATAGGTGCAGAGCAAACACGGACCTCCAAACATCAGAGGTGGGATCAGGTGCCATGGAGGAGTGAGCATCCCCTGCCGATTGGTCACACCTGCTATGTGCTCCTTGTCATGATCGGGAAATAATGGAAAAATCCATCGACAATTCAGTGTGTGAATAATGGCCTAACAATTAGTATGAAAAACGTCAGTCAGCATTTGACTCAATGATAAATTGTATTTGCTGACAAGGTCATTGTATCGACCATAGAACTTACGAAATGATGACTTTAAATGAGACAGCCGATATTCTTGTTTGATCAACTTGTTTGTCAATAATTTACCTCGTTTTAGAAATTGTACATACGTAGAGCATGCTCTTGCGTATTGAATCAACTGAGAGAGATATACCCCCTATGCAGGTGATGAAGGTATATTGCTGCATAAGTAAGGGAAGTTGACGATTGAAAAGTTAAAGTCATCACGTTTATCATAAAGCTTGGTTGTTAGATTACCATTAACGTCTTTTTCAAGTAAAATATCCAAATATGAAACAGATGTGTCAGACTCTGTGGTATCTTTTTATCTCAAGCTCACTGGGAAATATTGTATCGATATAAGAATGAAAATAGCCATTGTTAATTGACAATACGTCGTTGATATATCTAAATGTTGAGTTGAAGGCCACAGCAAGTGTTTGAAAGTGGCAAAATGAAACTTTGTAGCTAAAAATAATTATTGAAAATTTTCAGAAATATATGAGGTTTTGTCACTGGAAAGTTTCTACAAACATTTTCTAGAGTCTACTTTTAGAATTCAGATATATTAATTAGCTGTTCTGTATGGGAGATTAAAAAAAATTGTTTGTGGTATGTATCTTTAAGAGCCTTTAATTTGGAATGTTAATAAAATAAAATGACAGTTACACACATCTGAATTATTTGCATGTCCAAAATTGGTTAACCAGAGGATGAAGAAATACTAATCAGTGCAGAATACTTTTTAAAAAAATATTACCTTTTGAAATGGATTCAGTCCTTTTGCTTCATTGATGGTCATCAGTTTCTGAATATCTGGGTCTTCGAATCTGAATTTCAACTGTCTTGCTGGAGCTGACACTTTTGATTTCGATGTAACTTTAATGTCGTATGCTCCTGTTCTAGCACTGACTGTTTTTTCTATTTTCGAGAGGGAGACTGGACTCCTACAAAATAAAAAATTATACAGTTGAATGAGATATAATGAATGTAAATATTATAATACTTTTCACGGTGTAAATGTGATCACTGTCCATAATATTAGATGAAGTAAAATATTGTATATTTTTAAAAGATATATGTAAATATTAAGTCAAAATCATGTTTCTTTTATTAGGTCCAGTCCAAGATGTTCAAAGACTATTTTATGTAGCTATTAAGGACATACGCAACGTACCTTACTTACTGATAATTTTTCAAGATATTCTTAAGTTAGGATTGTAGTGTCATCAGATGTTTGTAGACACAAAATCAGCATGCATTACCAGGGGTTTTGAAAAGATATCAATTGATGAAAATTCTTGTATAATTCAAAGAAAAATATATAAAAATTTCTAACCATATATTCTAGATGTTTTGTTTATCCAAACTTATTTTAAAAGAAGTGTACAACAGCATATATAGACTTTAAAATGTAGCACACAGTTCCTTTAATTATCTGAACTCTTCAACTCCAGGGAAAAAGACAATATAGTTCAAAGTACGTTGTGTATGTCCTTAATAGGTACCAAAGTATTTAAACCGCTCTTCAATGGGAGGTCAACATTACCGCTACATTGCCAAAAATTTCAACTCATTACCGCTACATTTCTTCAAATTTTCAGGCGATCATTACAGCTACATTTTATCAATAGGACTATTGCCGAAAACAACTCATTACCGCTATTGTACATATTGAATCAGCCAGGAATGGTACAGAATACGAGTTCCATTCAACATATTTCACTCACCATGTAGTGAAGTACAATTTGGACCTAAACGAGTATATATAAATCCATATATTTAGTGTCACTGGAACATCATCATGACATGGCTACTATTGAGAAGTTTGTGACAAATCGCAACAATGCAGGATTAGTTATTTAAGGAATAACTGTCTAATTTTTTGGATTCATGATGTGATCAATCGAGTGGCTTGCGTGATAATTTGTATAAACGCTGAAGGCATTTATGCATAAATTATCACGCAAGCCAATCGATTGATCATCGTCATGAATCCAAAAAATCTGACAGTTTTTCCTTATATTTACATGCTCCTGATTCTGGAAATTCCTGTGCTAATAGCCCCACTTCTGTCTCTGTTTGTCCCGCCCGCCATGATTTTTTTTTAACCGCGCCTATCGATGAACTAAGAGATTTATGTAGAAATAAAGTGTTTTTACAATTTGTAATTTTATCTCGGACAAAGACATTGGAAATGTAAATATTGGTAGATATAAATTTCGTATAATTAAAACTTTTAAATACTCAGAAGTGTGGAGTAGATGGGAAATTTGAACATGACCATGCAAAGGAAAAGCAGGTCTTATGCATGTATATGTTATACTTAAAATCAATCTGTACACACATAACCGGCTGGCTAACGAAAGAGGCAATATAGCAGTAATGTATACTTTTAAATGTAGCAGTAAAGACTGTAGCGGTAATGAAAATTTTGAAAATGTAGCGGTAATGATAAGCACCCTCTTGAACTTCCTTGAAGTAGCTACTTCTAACTACTTTTACCGGTCTTTGAAAATAGAAATTAATAAAAGTGCATCTTTAAAACAGGTCACACTTCTTTATCATGTTGTGTACTTGCACAGTAAAATTCACAACATGGAGAGAAAATGCATGAAAAATTGTCCCAAAACTTCTTATTTAAGAATTTCTTATTTAATAATTAATACATAAAGGTAAATTTTAAAGAATTAAACAAAATTTGCATTGGTCATGTGAAAGGTCCATTTCTGCAATTTTCCTGTTTTACAATTTTTGCAGTCTTGCTTTCAATAAAGAGTTTGGGAGATTTTCAAACCAAATCAAATTGTGATGTCCAAAAATTTGTTGATTTATGTTGAAGCATGTTTGCTGCAGTTTGCAACTAGTGAGATATTAATATAATTTAGTTTTTTTTCTTTCTTCAGTCACATTAAACTCCTAGAAGATTCCTGATTTTTATGACATACAAAATAGAGCAAAGTTTTGCTACAATCATGTCTGGTACAATTACAAGAGTTACATCATGTACATATTAACTTTATTTATCTACTTGAAGTAGCTCAGCTCGGGTTAAATTTTGTGATTTTTAGTCTCGACATAATACACAATCCATGGGATAGTTTAGAAATATGTAATTTATTATTGTTTTTTGTTTTTTTTATTATTCTTTTTCATGCACTAAGTGGTTGAAATCAACAATTGCCCTGATCGCCTGACAAATTAATAATAAGTTTCAGGCCCGTAGGAACCAAATTCAGTTGGGGGGGGGGGGCGCACAGGCATACATTTTCAGTTGACAATTGAGGGGGCACTACCAAAAATTTCCTGACAAGCAAAAAAAAAGTCTTAACTACCGAAAATTCCTTGAAAAGCAAAAAAAAAAAAAAAAAAAAAAAAAAAAAAAGTCATCAGACGTTTTTATTACACATGTAAGGGGGCACAAGCATATAGTATCTATGTTTACTATGTGCCCCCCCCCCCCCCCCCGGTTCCTACGGCCATGAGGTTATAACAATCTTTAAAAAAAGAAATTTGGCTAGTGCAAAAATTTAAATTTGTTTAATTACGTTCTGAAATTATAAAAAAGCACTCCAAACTAAATTTTATATAATATCTTACTTTGTCTTCTCCATTTCCTTGAGAATACCATTGTATTCTGGTACAAAGCACACAAGATCTGTATATTTCTCCTCGTCTTGAAAGACAGCATTGAAATAGTTGTTGTTATTTCTTGAAACTTTTATTGGAGAAACGTTATGGACGTATCCCTCGACTTCAACACTTTGCTCATCATCAAGCCTCATTTTCTTAGCTGCTGCCATTTTCGCTACTTGGCGGGAAATAAGTGCGTGTCGGAGAGTAACAGGTCATGATAAACTCCTTATATGGAAAGTAGTTTTTAACACACGTGAGAAAACAGCGATGACGATGCTAGGTCATTAATTTACTCAGTTTAAAAATAAGATAATATATAATAACTGATTGAGTAAAATCATTTCTAGACATAAATATGCAGCTTATCTTAAAAAATGTCTGTATACTCAAAGATATTAAGCGTTAATTGCCGGATTATATTCTATGGCGAAGGAATAATGAGTGATACTCCGCAGCCGCAACACTTTCTATACAAAAGATTTCGTGCTTTTGTTTGCGTATGAATCTCAAGTAAGGTCGATGCCTGGACGAGTTCATTAGTTACTTCTGAAAGGTGACACAGGCTAAGTCTTTGTCGGTTCTTGATCGTCGTAAGCCACGGGTACTTTCTAGTTTGTGGAAATAGAATGGACAAAACTCGTGGCTTGCGATGATGAAAATTCTTATACCTTTTTCTTATTTAAAAAAATCGGGCTATTTTGACAACGCATTAGTGCTGGCAGTTGACTATTGTCTACATATTGTTTGGATTAGAACGGAAGATTATTGCATGTAGTAATAAGCGATAATACACACATAAATAGCACACGCCCGAAGTACAGGGATTTTTTTTCGGACCCCCCCCCCTCCCCACACGGCATACGAACACAACGTTGATTCGGGTTCATGTGTTGATTCGGGTTCATGTAGCAATTAAGCCATTTGGATAGCTGTATAGCAAATTTTGTGATATCGTTCAGTTTAGGACATGAAGTTATACAAATAAATGCATTATACTCTAAAGCTGTTTGAACAGATTTGCAAGTGAATCTTTATTATTTAAAAAAAATAAGAAAAACGTTGTTTACAATGGATTTTTTTTTCTGTAACAAAAGTGCAGAGATGCAAATGGAAGTGCAAAGGCGAAATTTTTTACTTAATATCTTTCACATCCGTGTGATATGAAATAATGACATAATATTATTCACTATCAAAATTATGGTTAAATTAGGGCTCCGATTGGCGGGCGCTCTATAGTGATTAGTCCGCCCGTCTAGCTGTCCGTCCGTCCGTCCGAGATCTCTTGTCCGGAGCATATCTTCTCTTTCCTTGGCCCAATCTGGCTTATACTTGACCAACAGAGTGCCCTTGGGTAAACGGTGTGCAGTGACGTTGAACCATCTTTCTAAGTCAAAGGTCAAGGTCATAGCAGAGTTATGTGAAAAATCCTTGTCCGGAGCATATCTTCTCTCTCCTTGGCTCAATCTGGCTCCTACTTCACTCACATAGTCCCACTGCCTGGTCAATGGATGTACAGTGACCTTGGTCGAAGTTTCTAGGTCATGTTCAGAATTAGCCTCTCTGTTTAAAATCTTTGTTTGGTGTATAATTTTTTTCCCCTTAATTCCAGTAAATTTATATAACTGAGGATACAAGATAACTTCGATGTATCTGTAAATTTGCAATATCCATGAAGTCGTACTAAATTACTTTTACTGTAGTATACAAATGTTCCTCTTCAAAATAAACCCTTTTAAACTACCTTACATTTTCATGTTCATTGTTGAAAGCGGGGTCCTTTGAGATGGCCACCATCTCAATGATATCTAGTGATTGAATGTTTGTATTTTGAGCAATTGGTTAATATTGCACAATTTTAAGTGCAGTGCTCTTACGTTACCATTCGTAACGTTTGTATTTGCTGTTTTTTTGAACTGATAGTGCATATCATCAACTGAAAAGAATGACAATTGTGTACCGTTCGAAACATTTTGATATAAGGGAGAAAATATCATTATTCGTTGAATATATGTATACATGTAGTTACAGAGATTTGGTGTTGTATTTAGAGAGGCGTTGTGCGGGAGGGGAGGGGGGGGGGGGGCTACGACATCCGATAAAAAAAAAACGGCTGTGGGTGTTAGGTATCAAGAAACTGGTCTGGACGAAATTGAATTCATTCCCATTTTTGTTGGTTTGCAAGAAATATTAAATTGTGAACATAACTTTTCATTAAAATTGTTGCTGAGACATAGAACATGTATATAAAATGTATATTGCCACTTTATTGCTAAAATTATCGTACAGAGCAAATATGTACGCCATTATTTTTGCTACCCTTATACGAGTTCGCTTGAAAACCACAAGTTGGTGTAACCGGTCATGTGACATCAACAGAGTTATTGCTCGGATACGAATCGAAGTCGCACTATGTGTTTACAGCGGGTATTTCAAGCTTGATATCTATACCAAAACACTTTTTAAGTTTTACGTTTATTTCTTAATGGATTTGATGGAGCTATGACTGTCATATTTGACATAAATTGTATTCTTTGTGACAAGACTTTTCTTTGGTTACCACCAAATTTGACCTTTTGACCTTGGAGTTTGACACAAACTTTTTCACACAAATACTACGACTTTCATACTTAACATAATAACAATAAGTATTTTTTAAAGACTTTCCATTAGATGTCCAAAACTTTGACCTTTAGATTTTGGAGATTAACATACATTAAACAAAACTTTAACCATGACTATGATTTCTGAATGGTTAGGGCTATGGTTTTCATATTTCATATATTTAGTTCTTGTGAGAAGAACTTTCTTTGTATATCAAAAAGTTTGACCTTGACTTTGATTCAATTTTTTAATCACAAACATTGACTATAACTTTTGAATGGTTGGGACTAGGGCTTTCATACTTCAAATATTTAATCCTTGTAACAAGACCTTATTCTGGATACAAAAAACTTTGACCTTGGAGCTTGACCTACTTTTTATGAACTTTAATCTTGGCATTACTTTTGAACGATTAGGACTATAGGGTTTTCATACCTCACATATGTAATCCTTGTGACAAGATCAAGATTTACTAGTTTTCTGTATTTACAAAGGCAATCGGTTTTCTTATCTCCCTTCCGTCAATAGGAAAAACACATAATTATGATTATGAAACCTGACCAGCACGTTTTGCATGCCAATAAAACTAAATAAAATTGATACCTTATATCTTAAGTAAATTTGTCTGTATTTTCTTTAAAAAAAAATTGCAGAAGAAATCAATTTTCAGTGGAATTAATTTCTTTCAGAAAACAAACTCTCCCACCATAGCCACAAAGAATTTGAGATATAGATTTTTCATAGAAGTTTACATAATATATCCAAAAATTGAAGTGGGCGACAGTGGCAGACACTATTTTCTAAAGGAAAATAAGAACAGAAATGAGTCAATCTATGGCTTTTCTACACTAATCTTAGAAATATACCTAATTACTGACATCCTCCTCCTTCATGCCATATTCTTAAATCAAATGCTTTATCATATTCATCTACTCAACTATTGTAAAAGTCAATTTCATAGCTTTTTAAGAACATTAAATGTTTAAGGCACAATAAAGCCCAAACCGTACCTTCTTCTTTGTTTTATGACCAAAATACTGTTAAGAATTAATTTTGCATCAACAAGTTCCTCCCTTCAGTGCATGAATAAGAAAAATGCTTGTCAATGATTGTGCTTAAAATCTTTATTAAGTAGCATTAGAAATTTATACAAATATTAACTAATGAAGGATGAGTGATTATCTGCAGGTAACACAATATGTACTTTCTTCAGTAAAAGAAAAGACAAAATGTTAAAAGAAGCTGGTATAAAAAATTATGTTGACACATTTGAGATATATAATTTTAGATATATATTACTCATCTGTTTTGCAACTTCTTTCATGTACATTATAACAATCATGTGAAATCAATAAGACAGAAAAAAACATGTACACATGTAGTCACTAATCATTATAATAAAATTATAATTAAATTTGAAACATCAAGATTGCAAATAACAATATAAATCATAAATGAAAATTAAGTCACATGAAAATGCATTAATATTATAGTATGGATTAATGTCTTAATTAAATTGCTTATTCTAAAAATTACAATCACTCAATACCAGTATACATATTCTTTCCAATCGAAAGAATACAAGTAGTATATTAAAACCACACGTTATGGAGATGCTTAAATTTAAATTTAAAATCGTGTTCTTTTCATATACCAAAAGTTGAACATCTAGGCTTCAGACATACATGCACATACTGTAATTCCTTTTCTGAGCCAAAGATAGTTTGAAAAGTGTAATCACGGTTAAGAACTTCCCTTCAGTGAATACGAAAAATGCATGATTGTGCTTAAAACTTTATTCAGTAACCAGAAATTAAGTTATGCATTAAGTCTTAGGTGATTATCATGATTATCTGTAGTTAACAATATGAACTTTCTTTTTAAGTAAAATAACAGATAAAACGATTAACAATGTGGTACATATTAAACCATATTGACACATTTGATATAAGAATATACAATTTGAAATATATTACTTATTTTGAAACTTGCTTTCACATACATATGAAGTTGTAAGTCAAAAACATGTATTTATAAAATCAGTACATGTATAATTAAATTTAAAACATAACAATTGAAAATTACAATAAATCTTAATAATTTGAAAGAGTATTACTGTACATGTATATAGCATGGGAAAAATCATTTGAAAATGCAGGCAAAATATGCATTTTTGTCTTAAATATATTGGTCAATTAAAAAAAAGTGCAATTACTTTATAATACATACCTTTCCCAATGAAAGCGAAAACAGGAAAGGTTACGTGTAAGCGATTGGAAAAAAAAGTTCTTCAGTTTTTAGCAATATGCATAATACTTTACATTTACATAATAAATGCTTTCTCAGAACCCCTGATTCAAAGAATCTTGTTGAAAAATTGAAGGGAGCACTTTTATTCCTATAAAGTTTTTTATTATAAATGTAGCATATCATGTGCTATCATATTTATAAATATTTTTATTATTTTCTAAAAGAGGTAGGTTTACCTCCCTTTACGGGCTGGCCATTGACCCCCTCTTTCCATACTTACCTGTAAATTATACATTTTGTACATATTAAATTTTATCTAATAGAAGTAATCTTTAATCACTTGATGCTCACAAAGATCTACATGATTTATGTATAGTATTCATTTGAATCAGGGAATCTGAGATCTCAAATCTAAAATCTGACTATAGCTGTGACAATGTGATGACATTTTTGAACTGTTAATAAGGCATTGTTATTTTGAAGAAACATATTTACAAAGAAGTTCATAGTACAAATAAGACATGATTAAGTAAAATATAATTTCTTTTTGTATGTCAGGTTTTATCAATTTTTTTGCTTAACAAAAAAACTTAAGCCACAAATCCAAATAAAATTTCAAAATATTTCAGCAAAATATAATTTTAAGTCATGCAGTCAATGAAGAGCTCCAACTCAGTGGTGTCCACATTCTATAAGGTGACACAGTACATTTAATTTTTGCAATGATATATCTGGCAAATATTATGAGAAGATATGAATGTCACACGAAGTAGCTGGAAGAGTGAGATCGATTCACAGATAATATGGCATATGGTCTAGAGTCACAATCACTGCAGTCTATCAAAGAGTATATTCTTCAATGTCCATCAAGAAAGATCACAAAATATCAGGATAAAAAAAGCTCCCAACTTAATATCCAGTTATCGGTACTTAAATCCAAAGTCACATTATGGGATAGATGATTCTCAATTTCTGAAACATCAATATTGTTTGTAAGATATCTGAACTTTCGAAATGGTAATACATTGTTCTCAGAATGGATATATCCAATATCCAATACATTGAACAAACTACGAAATGAATATACATGATTATACTTATAACAATAATGGAAGTAAATAAAAAACCAAAGAAATTTACAAACTATATATTCAAAAGTTAATAGTTGTTATACATATATATATATTATATATCTCAAATGTGTCAACATAAAAAGAGATGTTCACAGTTTTACAAATCCTCAGATATAAAATCAACAGTTGATCAATCTACTGGTTATGGTCAGAAATAATGCATTTATTTATGAATATGACCTTTCATTTCAATTTAAATATGCATAATAAATTCAGCATAAATTGTAGTCATAGCAAAAGATATGAATTTTTTAAATCCATACAATTAAAGTCTTAAGAAATTAAACATACCCAGTATATACACGTACGTAAGTACAATAAGAATTCAATATGTAACTGACAGTCAGGTCTAAAACATAGATGTCTTCATTTAAAAACAAAATTGATTTGATACAAAGATAAAGTACAAAATTCAAATTTTCAAATAGTGGGTTATTTAAAAAAAAATGTCCAAATAGGGCTAATACCCCAACAAGCAAATATGGAAAGACATATACTTGGCTAACATTATTGCAAATGACCAAGGAAATGGCCTGAATTTTGTTGAGATATAATTAGTTAAAGGTCATGTTATTCTCCATTGAGTGAAGAACACAATTCCCTACAGTTCAAGCTTTTGGATAAAAGAATACTCAACTTCTTAGTCATATTACAGAATGATTTTGTACAATCATGACATCCAATGAGATCAAGACAGATCCCTTTTTCGTAAGCATTCTCTGCCAAAGTATAACATATAATATATACATCCAGAACCAAAAATTTTAAACATTTCAAGTTTGAGACCTTGATCTAATTTTTTTAGATGGTCATGACAGCATATCATAAAAAAAAATAGCCCCATTGTATTTAATGCAAAGTCTTATCAAATGCACAGTACACCATTTTATGATCTGACCAGTATGCTTCAATAACATCTGTTTCACACTGCGATATATTTGTAAAAATCAAGTCAAGTTTAGAACCAGAGTCATGAGTAGCCTTACGCACAATTTGTTTACAGCTGAAGCCCTTTTCCATAAAAGTTAAAAAGTCTATGTGCAGCAAATAAATCAAAATTAAAATCTCCTAAGAATACCACGTCTTTCTGTTCATCAATCAAGGGCTTTATATGCATATTCATATGCTGTTTGAAATCCCCAAAAGAGCAAGATGGATATTTGTAAATAACTACAACTTGAACATCTCTGCTTTGGTTTAAATGCATATTTACCATGATAAACTCCACAGACCCAGTATTCAGCTTTGAGATACAGGTTGTGTTATAGACATTTTTCACATACAGTGCTGTTCCATGATATGGGCGTCTGTCCAGATTACACGTAGGCTCATGGTTAAATACTGCTGTGTATCCCTGCAGTTGATAATTTTCAGCTACATCAACACTAGTTAATCTTGTCTCTGAGAATCCAACTACATCTGATGCAACAATATTTGGTTCATCTTGAATTTGTGGGAAGTGTTTATGAAGTGATCTACAGTTGTTGAAAGCAATTTTAAAAGAATGCAAATCGACCTGGTATAATGGGACATAACAAAGTAGCAGCGGCACATCTTTCTTCATTCTTTCCATTTCCTCTACTACTTGTTCATCCATAGCCAATGCCTGTTCATTGAAGTTTAGGATGTGCAGATGATCCACGGATCGTACTCGACTTAATGCTACATAGTGAATATGTGGATTTTTCCTCACTCTAGTCTGAGACAAATCAATCACAATTTCATCAACAGTGCAACCTTGCGCTTTATGAACTGTTTTCCCTGCAGCTGGCCGTAACGGAAATTGAATTCTCTGAAAAGTATTGTAATTCAATACAAAAGATCGCTGAACTTCAAAAATTGGTGTCCAGTCCACATTAATCCCTTCATGAAACAAATGTTTATATTTCTTGCGAGTAATTTTTCCAATAGCAGCATCAAAAAAATTTACCCACACGATGCTTGGTCTTGATATTCTTTCCATTTTTCTTTCAATTAATTGTACCTTACATGTTGACCCATTTGTTAAACCATCAGATACATCAACATTCACCGAGATATCATAGATCATCCCAACAGCAAGAATCAGTTTTTGCATCAAATTAGCAGTTTTGCTAACATCATCTGCTTTATATAGAGATCTAAGCAGCTTTTCCTTAAGTTCCTTTGAATAATCCTTTAGAACACTATCCACTGAATTTACTGTGACCTTTTCTCCTTCAAGTTTTTCAATCAAGTGATTGTTGTATGCATCTACTTTTGAATTCTGTGTAAAGAGATGAGGAGCATGATGTGGATAATTGTCACTTGTTTCCGTTATCATGCATCTGTGTATCACATTCATATCTTCTTCTGTCATAATATTGTAACGAAGGCGATTTAAAAGTTGAGCAAACTCAAGATCGTCCTTCTGGCGCATTATTTCATCCAACTCAAAAATGCAAAAATGCTCCTTCCAGAGATTGTTTGCAAGAGCTTGAGCATCATGATTTAAATCCTGAAAGATCCAACGGTCCATTACAGGTTTAAGTTGAAAAAAATCACCAACAGCTATGATACTAATACCACCAAATGGTTTCTTGATGCCTGTGAGAAGTTGTAGCCGACTGTCAATGAGTGCTAATGATCTATTTCCAACCATTGATATCTCGTCAATAATGATCAATTTTAGGTTTTTGTACTTTGTACGAAAAGTGTTCAATTCATCACAGTGCAAACTTTGTTGACTTTGATTAATTTTTTGATGGAAAGCAGATGCAATAGTTTTTCCTCCAATGTTGTATGCTGCCTTGCCAGTATATGCACAAAGAAGTATTCTTATGTCATCTGGATTTTCACCTTCTGTGGAACATAGGAATCTGTGCAGAGCTTGATAAAGTGCCCTTATCAAAACAGATTTGCCAACACCAGCACCTCCAGACAAAAATGAATAAATAGGTTCTGTCTTTGTTTTGACCCATTGCAAGACATGATTGAAAAATTCTCGCTGCTTTACATTTAAACTTCCTAAAAGTTTCAAGTATTCATCGTCTGGTAATCTAACGGAACTTTCTTCAGTTATTTGTCTTGTTGATGGAATTCCAAGGTCAGATCCTATATCATACTGTCTCTGTTCAATAGGCCTCTCAGGATTAAACTGAACAAAGTTTTCAGATTCAAGAGATCCCTCATTTTCATCTTCTGCCTCTCTTTGCTGAACATCTGGTGCCAATTCATCATAAGCTTCTGAAGAATCCTCAGTTGCCATTTGCAAAGCTGCATCAAGCTGTTCAGCATTGAATTCATATTCTTTGACCTTGTGTGTAAGAAATGACTTCTTCAGATGAAATGACTTCTCAAACGTGTCCATTCCTGATATTAGATCAGTTGATTCATTTCTCCAAGGCATGAACAACATGAGTTTTTCTCTGTAGTAATTTTCTGGATCAGTTTTGATATTAAATCGGACATATCTAATTACCCTTGGTACTTTCCGTCGTTTAATTTTTATGCCATTTCTCAGAGTAACAAGTGCATCACTCTCACTAAATTCAAGATCTGAATTGTCTTCATTTTCTGACTGATTGTCCTGATCATCATCATTCACTTCATTTTCAGTGAACTCTTTTTCAGTATCTTTAGGGAAGACAACATCTAGCTGTGATACGTAATCAGCTAAGCACCAGTTTTCAAGCTGCTTTGGGCGTTTTGCATACCGTTTAATAACATTGCTACATTCCACATCTGTAGAATTTGGTGTCAACTTTTCCAATTCAGCATCTGTTTTGATGAGAATTACTCGGTCATCTGATGGACTTGTGTTTATAAAAACAACATCTCTTGAAGCTTTGGTCATTGGCATTTGCAATACTAAATATGCTGCTTCCTGTGCTCCAACTTCTACACTGTTGAGAAAATGATTTCCAATATGACGTACCTGTCTTTTTATGTCAAGATTTCCTTCTCTAGCTTCTTTTGCAGCTCTGTTAAGTAAATCGCTCATCCCTCTTTGTGATTTACTTATATATGAAACAATATACATTGCACAGGCATATGGGTCCAAAATATATTGAATGTCTATGTTAGCTTTCCAAGCATCAAGAACAACACTGTTGTATGAGTTTACCCTCATATCACATGGATTTCTTTTTAGAAAAACCTTTGGACCTCTCAGTGAACTTCTAATGCATTTTATGTAATCTTCCTCCGATATCTTTAGAACCGTGCTCAGGAGCTCCTTGTAGGGCAAATCACATCCATTTTTCATATCATTCAGCTGTTTCTGAATATCATCATACATTTTCTTGTACTTATCAACATCACACTCTAGTGGCTCCAAAATCAAAGTTTCTTCAAGAGGAGGAAGGGGAAAACCAAATCGACATACAGCTTTACCTCTCTTTTTGCATGTCTGTGAATGTTTGTGCACTTGCAAGTCAGTCAAATCCTTCTCTTCATTCTTTTCACATTCCAGGTAATTATCTACATAACTTACTATCTCCTGTTCATTATTTTCATGATATTTTGGTGCATTTTCTATCCAAACAATCATATGAATATGTGGTGATCCTCTTTGCTGAAATTCAGTTCTGTAGAAGAAGTCTTTTACAATCCCAATTGGATGATGATCACTTCTCAACACTGTATTCATAAACATACGGAACCTATGATCAAAGTACCTAGAGCAAGTGATAGGATCCTTTTGTACTAATTTTGATTTTTCAAACCAAGTCATACTGTCGATTTCTTCATCAGTGTATTCTTTTCCATCATTTAACACACCAAGTGCTCTGATGAGATCATTCCATCTTGTATCTGCAGCTGACAGAGACATAAACCATGTTGGTAGACCTAACTGTCTGATCATAGCAAATACATCTTTTTTTCTAGTCTCAAGATATGCAGGTGAATTTCGTAACTGCCTGAACACGAAGAAGCCTTCATCGTGTCTAACAAGATTATTAACATTTTCAGGATTTTTCATTTCATTTGCTGTCATGGATTTATCTTTGGTTTTGCATTTCCTAAGAGCCAGGTTGCATTTGTCTGTCACTTGCTTCATTTGTATTTTTTTCAACTTGAAAAACAAATTTGGAACAGACTGGGCAGCACGTCTATCAACACTCCTTAATTCCCATTTAGCAATATCTGCATACGAGACACGAACTTGTCTTTCATCATCTTGTAATCTTCCCTTTCCACAAAAAATTGTTGGAAATGATAAATACTCAGCTGTCTGATCTTGATATAAACTAAGCGGGCGTTGTCCTTCACCTGGAGCAAATGTGTATACCTGATTCATGTCTCGTGAAGCATCATCTAAAAGAGTATCACAATTACCATCTCTACCAACTCCATCTACTTCACAGAATTCATCATAATCATCAACCGTCTCAAGATCATCAGCATTTTGGTTGTTTCTCTCTTGTGTTTTCACTAATTCCTGAACAATTTCACTTGCTGACGTTGTAATTTCTTGAAACCAGTTGTCATCAACATTGATATTTGCATTCTTGTAAAAGTCGCTATTGTTCATAAGCCAGTGCAACGCTATCAGTACTTTTGTTGGTCGTACATTTTCGTGATAATCACATTTTTGATATGACAACTTTTTCTTTAATTTGACAGGAACTGTGACATTTTCATCTAATTTTCTTGGCAGGCTATTTACAGTAGGTTGAATATCAACAGGAACATTCACAATATTTCCTCTTACAGAATACTGTCCACCCCTTGGCAACTCCCTTATTTGCATAAAAGGTATTCTCAGAGACACAAGCCTTTCTTCTAAAGGAAACAAATCTAATTCCATTGGCTTAAGTGGCCACATCATACCATTTAAGACAGACAACTTCGGAATTTTGTTTTCTCTTATTGATGAACAGCAAGTATTGCAAATCCATTCCATATTTTCAACAGACACAGTGCTTGTAAGAAACTTGTTTTTATATTTATCATCTAGTTTGATGTTTTCCACTTTAGAAACACTTTCTTTGAACCATGTTTGCTGACAACATGAGCATACAAAAATTGGACCATGTCTAATCTGCTCATGAAAATTTTGAATGCAATCTCCTATATCTCCTCCAAATCTTTTCTGTCTCTGTAGTTCATTTACTTTTTCACAATATTCTTTATCTGCTCTTTGCTTCTGTTTCTGTTCCCTATTTAGGAATCTCTCATTTTCTCTGAATGAAATGTTACTTCGTTTAGCTTGCTTTCTTAACCTTTCCTTTTCAAGAACAGTTGGATTTTCTCGGCATTTTCTTTTAGAAACTCTACTGCCCTCTTTCTCTTTCTCTTGCACCTCAACATTCTGACGTTTTAACTTTCTACCTTTAGTATTCATTTCCCTTTCTTTCTCTTTAACTTTCGTATCTTGTCGCTTTAACTTTCTACCAGCCGTATTTATTTCCCTTTCTTTCTCTTTGATTTCAGCATCTTGTCGCTTTAACTTTCTTGCAAACTTATCCATTTTCCTTTCTTTCTCTTTAACTTTAGAATCTTGTCGCTTTAACTTTCTACCAGCTGTATTCATTTCCCTTTCTTTCTCTTTAATTTCAGCATCTTGTCGTTTTACTTTTCTTGCAAACTTATCCATTTTCCTTTCTTTCTCTTTAATTTCAGCATCTTGTCGCCTTAACTTTCTACCTGCAGTATTCATTTCCCTTTCTTTCTCTTTAATTACAGCATCTTGTCGCTTTGACTTTCTTGCAAGCTTATCCATTTCCCTTTCTTTCTCTTTAATTACAGCATCTTGTCGCTTTGACTTTCTTGCAAGCTTATCCATTTCCCTTTCTTTCTTTTTAATTTCAGTATCTTGTCGCTTTAACTTTCTAGCAGCTGCTTCTCTTTCATTTTCTGTCTGTCTTATTTCAGCATTCTGCCTTTTCAATTTCCTTGCAAATGTTGCAATTTCAGTTTCTCTGCTTTTTATATCATCATTTTGTCTTCGTAACTTTTTTGCATGCGTTTCTTTGTTCCTTTCTAATTGCTTAAATTGTACATTCTGTCTTTTTCTCCTCATGTAATCTCTCATATACACTTTTCTGCATGGGTTTTGATCCGATTTTGTCCTAGATGAGAGATGATCATCCATTTTGTAAAATCTTTTCTGCAATGGGCTTTTCTCTGGAAAACTATGATGCAAAGTCTTAATTGAGATTGGTAAGATTTCAAACTGCGTTCTAAAATCTATATGCATGCTGTTATACATACTGTACAAATATGACACCAAATCATCAATAGTCTTGCTTTGTACTAGTACTGATTTACCATCACAGGCAGACATGCCAGCACTGTCATGTGAATGAGAGTCAAAAAAGTAAAATTCATTGTCTGACACTTTGTATATACCAGAACAAATTGCTCCTATCATTATCAGCAAATATCTAGAAACCTGGAAAGCCTCTTCTAAAGCTTGATGCAATGATTTCACTTGACTACTTTGTTCATCAGAGACAAGTATTCCCCACATGGTTTCAAATTTCTCAATGACATGATGATTTTCTCCTAAAGTTAAGGTACTTGGCAACTCATCAAATTTAAGTAGTTTGTTAAGAAACAATTGTCTTTGCTGCAAATTCTTGACCAACATAATATAAACCTGATCTCCTGCTATTAAAGTGCTATCAATAAATTCTGTTGAGAATGAAAATCCTTCGTAACTTTTTATCAGCATAGTAAGCGCATTGCAGGTACACTGACTTCCTCTAGAAAGTGATGAAAACCTTGCATCCCCTTGATGAAATGACCCAAATACAAATTTTGTATTGCATACCTGGTCGATTGCATGATTAAGTGCTTTGCCTTCTTCAGCCGTTACACCATGATTATGTTGTACAGTTTTAGTGATTGAGGCATTGTTTGTCAATTTTTGTTCAGTAATGTTTTGCAAATTCTTTTCATGAGATTCATTGAGCAGATTTGTTTCACATAGTTCATTCAGCAAATTTGTCTTACAAAAATCATTCAGCAGATTTGTTGCACAAGTTTCTTTGTTTGACCTGTTTTTTTGTAAGCTGAGGGCAGGATCCTCAGTGTCAACATTGCTTTTACTGTTTTTCACGAGGCCAGTCTCCTCAGTCATTCTAATGTCATACATTGTTTTACTGTTTTTAAAGAGGCCAGTCTCCTCAGTCAAGTCAAGGTCAGACATTGTTTTACTGTTTTTCATGAGGCCAGTCTCCTCAGTCTTGTCAGTCCGTAACTCTTTCCTGGCACCACTCATCCTCCAATACTTTCTTCTAGGCATCTACAAAGGATAAAGTAAATAATGAATATAGATACTACGGATGTACAGTCAAGCCTTGTTAATACGGACACTTCTTAGAATCTTGGTTTATGAAGCATCAGGAATACCGAATTTAATCCCGAATTACTTGTAGATCTAAACATTCTGTTTTTAACACACCTCATCAGTAATGTGAAGTATCCTGATTACCATGACTCAACTGTACATCCTTCTATATAATAGAAAAGGGAGGAAAGAATAGGTAAAATAACTTTTCTTTCAAGTTTTGCACAATTTCAAAATTTTTAACCCATTTTTAAAATGACCAATCAAATAAATCAAGTAATCAATTGACATATCATCTTAATATTTTATAGAAAAAACAAATGATAGGCAGTATATTTAATAAATTAAACCAAAACAGAAAAGTAAATTGCCAATTTAAAACTAGAACTGTCCGTACGGGACAAAATACCCCCCGCTGGGTTTTTCAGAAGCAATTTTTTCCATAATAAAGATATGTATCACACATGAATTATGAAATTTTTCTTCCAGTGACCTTGAACTTCCCCAAATGACCTTGGGTCAAGGTCATGACACACCCTTGGGTCATGGGCAATCTTTGTGTGAAATGAGAACCTACCAAGTTTATCCATAAGAAAAATATGGACTGGACACAAATTATGAATTTTACTTCCAGTGACCTTGAACTTCCCCAAATGACCTTGGGTCAAGGTCATGACACATCCTGAGGTCATGGGCAATCTTTGTGTGAGATGAGAACCTACCAAGTTTATCCATAAGAAAGATATTGACCGGTCACGAATTATGAAATTTTTCTTCCAGTGACCTTGAACTTCCCCAAATGACCTTGATCAAGGTCGTGACAAACCCATGGGTCATGGGCAATCTTTGTGTGGAATGAGAACCTATCCATAAGAAAGATATGGACCAGACATGAATTATGAATTTTTTCTTCCAATGACCTTGAACTTCCCCAAATGACCTTGGGTCAAGGTCATGACACACCCTTAGGTCATGGGCAATCTTTGTGTGGAGTAGTAGATTCTAATGTTCCTCCGTAAGAAAGATATTGACCAGACACGAATTATGAAATTTTTCTTCCAGTGACCTTGAAGTTCCCCAAATGACCTTGGGTCAAGGTCATGACACACCCTTAGGTCATGGGCAATCTTTGTGTGGAGTAGTAGATTCTTATGTTACTCCAAAAGGAAGATATGAACCAGACACGTTTTAACAGACAGACAGACAGACGGACAAGGTGATTCCTATGTACCCCCCCCCCCCGAAAGTTCGTTTGCGGGGGGTATAACCAGGTTTTGATACATGCTAAGTCTCAAAGTGGGGTTGTCTTAAAACAATATTGCACAGAGAATTGCTATCTCATTTTTTTTTCTTTTTAAGAAATGGGCACAAGTTTATGCAACACTTGATGGTATACAAGAAAAAAACAAATGTTCCATTCAAATAAATTTTTTTACCATTTCAATGCACATCACTGTATTTTTGTTGCCACAACTGTTGACCTTAACAAAATTAACTTAAATTTTGTTCTATCTGTTAAATACATAAAGATCAACTCTTTTTATGAACATTGAGGAAGATTATACATGTATGTACTAATATGGGAGTGTGATTAATTACTTTCAATTGCCCCCCTCCCCCTTTTTTTTTTTTATAAATGAGTGTGATTGTTTTATGGGCTTTTGATCTTGAGTTCTGTTTGTTGTCTCCATATTTTTCATTCCAATCAATTTAAACCTCATATTAGATATTAAGAAATTCTCCCCAACTCCTCCTATCCATTGGATCTATTACATTACCAACTAAACTCAAAATGCAAATCTTTCCTTCTATCCAGAGGCTGTTTATGAACAAAATTGAAATTTCTTCGATAAGCCTACCCATCAAGTAATCATTGACCAAAAACTGTATATATGTATGCATGACCAAGGTGACCTGAATATTGTGCAATTAACCAGAAATGTAATTTTCTTCCTCATTAAATTATTGCCCATGGGATGTTTGATCAAGGCTATTTTTTTTTTAAAGCAAAAAGTATTTCAAGTGCAGATTAGTCTTTACCAGTATTGGAATATAATTTAACAAGAGATGTTTGTAAAACACTTATGCCTCCTCTCCCCAAATTGGAATTTTTCCAAGTCCAAAACTCTGTCAAAAATGGTGCAATCTACCCAAAACAGAACTTGACCTAGATATTTTACTTATAAATCTGTATACCAAATTTCATTTCAGTATGTGCAACCTCTGCAAAGATAATGAAAGGAAACTGCAAATAATTGTAATTTTTTCAAAGTCTAAAGGACATAACTCTGTCAAGAATGGTGCGATAGTACCCAAAACAGAACTTGACCTAGATATTCATATGATAAATCTGTATACTAAATTTCATTTCAGTATGTATGACCGTTGCGAAGAAAATGAACAGAAACTGCAAATGATTGGAATTTTTCTAAGTCCAAGGAGCATAACTCTGTAAAAAATGGTGTGATCATACCTAAAACACTACTGGACCTAGATTTTCATATGAAATACCTGTATACCAAATTTCATTCCAGTATGTGCAATGGTTGCAAAGAAAATGAACGGAAACTGCAAATGATCGGAATTTTTCTAAGTCCAAGGGGCATAACTCTGACAAAATTGGTGTGATCATACCCAAAACAGAACTTGACCTAGATAATCATGAGATATACCTGTATACCAAATTTCATTTCAGTATGTGCAACAGTTGCGAAGATAATGAATGGAAACTAAGTGGACCGACAGACCAACCAACAGACAGCAGCAAAGCAATATGCCCTCCCTTCTTCGAAGGAGGGTATTAATTATTCTTTTTCAAAAAGCGCCAAATAAAATAATTAAATCTTTAGCATACAATTTCCACTCAAGATAATTCATTGTTACTATACAGGGATTTTCTAGGGCATATTTACCCGGAGTATTACCAATGTTTGGTATTTTTCCCTAACAGAAAATTTCCCCTGAATATCCCAATTTCCCCTTTAATGAGTAAAAATTTTCCCTTACAATAATAAAAAGCTCAAATATTTCTTTTCTTTTAAAAAACTGGAAAATAAAAGAAATAAATTATCATGAGGTGTGAAATATAGTTTAATTTGCTATTTTATGCACTTTAAATGGTCATAAAAATGCTGATATTAAACTGGACCTCCCAGCAGGGCTCACCCTGCACCCGTTGGATGGCACAGATCTAGAAAATTTTTCAAAGGGGGGGGGGGGGTTGAAGGTGAAGAGGTAGAGTTAATATAACGTACATTTTACATATACATGTAGACATGTAAACCCAACAAAATTTGGGACTTTCTTCTTTCTTTTTTTTGCAATCCCGTAACCCCCCCCCCCCCTGGATCTGCCTATTTGAACTGGTCCTCCGACCCTGGCTAATTTTCCCTATTTCTCCAGAATGTAACGGGTGGGTTTGCCCCGATTAAGTGTATGCACCAAGTGGTTTTACCTCGTTTAACTACACTGTAACAGGTAATAAATTTATATGTTCTTTTTTAAGTGACTTATACACAGTCATAATTACCCCGGTAGATAATTAAATAACATTTCAATATCAGATATAGAATGAAATTCTTTACGAATTTTTAATGCAACACATATCTGTTCATATTTCAAATAGACAAATAAATAAGACCTAAATTTTAATATTTTCCTATAATTTTTTAGATAAAGAAAAAAAAATACTAACAGTTTATTTGCAATGAATACAGCTTCATGTAGCCATTATAAAAAAAAATGATATAGCAAACAAAACTTTTGTATAGATTCATGTAAAAGCACAAAGGACAGCCTTCATCTTTAATTCTTATTAAGCTGCTTATCATTATCCTACTAAACAAACGACCATCCGACAAACAGACAATAATTATGGGTAAACCCAACTGGGTCAAATCCACTCAGCATAAACAAGTAATTGGGGAGAAACCACTCAGAGCAAACAAGAAATCACGGTGAAACCACCTGTATTCCTCCAGGAAAGGTAGTTTCTCCCAAAACGTAGAGTAATCCCTGCATAGATAACATTATAATCAAGCAACAACACAACAACAAATCAATTAGTCTTTTTTATTTATTATTCAACCTGGGCCTTGGATCATGAAACATCTTTAGCTTAAGTCTAAATTTATATTATCCTTCAATGTTGTGGATATCAAGCAATTAAAATTTATTTTAAAAAATGTTTTAGTATTATTCAAACAAATGTTGTTATTTGCAAGTATTTAGATTAATTACATCGTTGATAAACATTCTATAAGGGGTTGAAAAATTGACTGAAGTCTACGTATGTTTCATGACCCTACAGCCAGAAGACTATGGCATATGTTACTTCAAATTTACTGGATTCCATAATACATTATACCATGCTTTTCTTTTTTTTTCCTGTTATACTTTTTTATCCATAACCTGTACATTTCGATTATCATTCATCAATAAGAATATATATCTTCTATTCTAAATTGTTTTGCCATTTTCTACATCTCGCCCCTATATCTACTGCGATACAGTGCGAGTTTCAATCACTCAGGGGATGACAAATCCCATTGCCCGAGGCTAGTGAATTTTAGGGGTTGGGCAAGTGAAATTTTATCAACCACTTGCCCGTGGGCAAGTGACTTAATCAATTATCAAAAATAAAATCAATATGTATGCCAATATTCTATTCAGTATTTTTTATATATATTTATAAATACAGTATAAGTTAATGGTAGGGCAGGCAAAAATTCAGGTAGGGTAAGTGAATTTTGATCATGTACTTGCCCTTGGGCAAGTGCCTTTAAAATCTATTTGTCAGCCCCTGAATCACGTCCTTTCCGGTGCATTATTATTTTTTTTAACCTATGTGAATAAGCATAGACCATATCTGCACAAATATGGCGTTAAAAATAAATAGTTTCCCTTATAAAATCATTAGACATCAGGCTTTATTAGCGATACATACTGATTGCCGAATGACTGTTGAATTCGTAATAAATTTGCAACGTCAAAAGCTTCAAAAACTAAAAAGTTTGGTCAATTCAAATGCGCAAATGAAAACGTAGCATCTCCATCATTCAATCGGTTCGATGTTTAAAATGCATGTTTCAAATATTACCTCTACAAATGAACTAAAACAAATCAGGTATCTGAATTAAGTTAAAACTGGATCCGTTCTCGAATGCTGTCTTTCGCCCGACGCAACGTGGCTGTCATAACAAAGAGCCTCGTTCTGACATCGGATATCGTAATATTCGGAATAACGAACCCGATCGCAAAAAAAGACAACGAAAAAAAAAACAGCACCCTTCCCCATGATTTAAACAATTTAAAATAAAAACTACCTAAAGATGCTTCCATATAAGTTTAATCTTTTCTGACCCATTGGCTTTTGATTTTTAAGAAACTTTTAAAAGATTTTTCTACATATATCAATATAAACTTTGACTCACTATTGTAGCACCGCCCTACCCCAAGGGGATCATGATTTGAACAATTTAGAATCTACACTACCGCAGGATGCTCCCACATAAGTTTCAGCTTTTCTGGCCAAGTGGTTCTTGAGAAGAAGAATTTTAAAAGATTTTTCTTATTAATTTCAATGTACAACTTGGACTCCCTCTTGTGGCCCCGCCCTACCCCCGGGGTCATGATTTGAACAATTTAAAATCTACACTACCCCAGGATGCTTCCACATAAGTTTCAGCTTTTCTGGCTCAGTGGTTCTTGAGAAGAAGATTTTTAAAGATTTTTCCAATATATTTCTATGTAAAACATTGATTCCACATTGTGGCCCCGCCCTACCCCCGGGGGTCATGATTTGAACAATTTAGAATCTACACTACCCCAGGATGCTTCCATATAAGTTTCAGCTTTACTGGCCCTGTGGTTCTTGAGAAGAAGATTTTTTAATGACCCCACCCTATTTTTGTCTTCTCTTGATTATCTCCCCTTGTGAGGGGACTTGGCCCTTCATTTTAACAATTTAAATTCCCCTTCACCCAATGATGCTTTGTACCAAGTTTGGTCAAAATTGACCCAGTGGTTCTTGAGAAGAAGTC